GAATTTTCGTCGCCGGTGGGATTCGAACTCTGGTCTTGCCACTTGGGGGTGCGACAACTTCACCACTTCACTAAGTCACCACACCCAATTATTATTTTAGTCAACTTTGTAGTTTGCAACATATAGTATAATTTAAAAATTTTATACATATTGTTTATATAGGCACTTTACTAATCATCATTTTTTTAGTGATGAGACTTTTAGTTGTTGATTATATAATTTTCTTGGCCTTGATTCTGAAAATCTTAATGTATTGTTTTTTTTTTCTTATTGTATCTACTCAAATCTTCTTTTCTTTTTTGCAATCTTTTAAGTTTATTATAATTAGTTTAGTTTTTTTCTCATTAGTCTGAATATTATTTATTCTAAAGAATTCTTTAGTAATTAAAAGTATTTTTTCTATTTTTTCTTTGTTTTTTGCTATCTATATAGTATTGTCTACAAATATAACTACTATCTGTTTCTATATATTCTTGGTTACAAAATTTGAATTCAGATCTAGTGAAGATCTATAGAATATTATATATCCTAACTTAGAATCATCTTAAATTCTTTTTAGAAACAAATTAAAAAGATTATCTAAACTAATAATGAGATTACCTTCTTTTGTTCTATTTTTTCTTATATTTCAAAGAAATTTGTTAAATATCTAAGCCTGTAATAATTTTAGATTAATAGTTTGCAAAAAGATTTAGAATAAATCTAATAGTGATTTTTATTAATTTAATTCTTTTTATTGCTATTTGTAAAACCTTAAGTGATACTAAATTGATGGCTTTTTTCAAGTTTTGTAGTATAATTTATAGTTCTTTCTTATTATTTTTTGCATTTTCCATAATTGCATTTAGAATATAAACTAACTATTTTGTAGAATTTCCAGAAAAACTTATGAAATTCAGTTTTCTTAATATATTTCTTTTTAGAAAAACCTTAAAAAGTCTTTTGTAAATATTTTAGTTGTATATTTGCAAAAGATCTCTAGTAATGCAATTGGTCTAACATTATTTAAATAATAATAACAGTTTTTTCTTTGATAAATTACTTAATTTTATTATATTATTTTTTTAAATTTTCATAAATTTTGATTTAAAAAAAATATTCTGACAACCTATTAATTAAAATTGATAAAAAATTTTTATTCAAATTCTACAGTTTTATAGAATTTGAATAAAAAAAAATTCATTAAATTTGATCAATTGGTTGCCAAGATATCTTTGATCAAAGTTTTATAACAATTTTAATACAGTTTTTATATAATATATACTGTATTTTAACAACTAAAACTTTTTACAAAGCTTCACATTTGATTTATTAAAATTTGCCTCCAGCCCAACTTGAACCATTGACCTAGTCTGTAGAAGTTTGGAAGCTAAACCACTAAGCTATAAAACTCAAACCCAATAATTAAAATTTTATTTTATTCTATATAATTTAAAAATTCCTATATAATTCTATTTTAACCACTATATAATATATAAATTATATATAACTAGAATTGCTATAATAGTGAGTAGTATTAAAAATAAATTTGTGTAAATTAACTAATAATATTTGAATAGATTTTATAATATATAAGTATTAAAAATAATACTAAAGTTTTAATTATTTTTATAGCACGTGGGTACTGGAAGATGATCTATTGGCTAGTTACGCTACTTAAAAAATAAAGTTCTTGAATGAGACCCAGGTACTATATACAGTGGTCAACGGTAATGATTGATTATACCATCTGCACGCATGAAGTTTGTATACGTAATTGATATTTCTAAAGATTGGAAAGAAATATCCGCAAAAAAAAACTAGCCAATTTCAGTAAACAAAAAATAACATGCATCAATAAAGCTGTCGATTTTACATTAATAATAAAGTTTCATTCTTCGGTCTGTAATTCCGATGCTAGAGATGTTTAAAATGTTTTTGCTAGTTGAACATAAATATTGCGCACCAAAGGTAATCATGATTAGTTAGAGTAATTAAATTTTAACAATTTTTAACTTATATGAAAGATAAAAAAAAAAAGTGGAACCGTTACTTTAGTGCGCTGGGAGGAATTCAACAAATATCATTTTACTTGCATAGATTTTTAAGTTGGGAATTAATATCGTTTGAATTTCATTATATTTTTATTATTAAAAAGAATGACCAGCAAAAAATTCTATTATTGGAGTTTAAATATAAACACGACTATGTATTGGACACAACCGATCACGTACATAACCCTAAGAGAATTCGCTTCTGAGTTAGCATTATTATATTCTCTTTACGAATTTAATTGAAGATGGCTTATCAATGCAATGCTGCTTCTTGCATTAACCAAGAATCAAACTATTATAATGATTGACCGTGTATTTATATTTTTCCATATAAGAAAATTCGTGGATGCGCGCTGAATAATCTTGTGATATATCATTATGTAAATTCAACATACCTCGACTCCTTGAACTATGAAAAATATGTCATAAATATCTTGTAATTTTGTACATATTTTAATTAACACTATTACAATGGTAGCGACATCACACTATTCATGAAAGATATGCGTATCAGGATTCTCAATGAAATAATTGTTAAATGCGCGAATACGCAATGTTTCAATGTTCTGTTTATAAAATATACAATAATATTAATGATCATTATAATGTACCCCTTCTCCTATATGCAAATAATAAAAAGAATCGTTGAAATATGCAAAGAAACGAATGCCATTATGTGGTTATTTCTTATTGAAATTCAAAATATACCAAGCATGTTATAAATAAAGATACTAATTTAACACGATCAAAACTTAAAATTTGGTGGAAAAATATATAGCATATCGAAAATAACAACAAATACTACACCCTTGATACATTGAGTCAAATACTTATACAACATCCAGAAATAATTGTTTACTTATCGTTGCAACATAGCCAAGGTTTTCCGTGCCAAGGCCACAATTTCACCCTCATCTGACTCATATTCTTCATCCAAAGGTTCTTCACCATCAGGAGTTACGCTATATTCGGCAAGACGATTTATAGCAGACACAATGGTGTTCGAAGACTTTATATTCGTAAATAATTGAGAATCTATTTAAAAAAGAAAAAAAAAGTAGTTGCTATATATTGATAACCATGATAGTATTGTTAGTATTTGAAGAAATAACCAACCTCTTCCTTCCAGAAATTGAACAATTGTCCAGACAGCAATATGTTGGAATGTTTTATCTGTACTATCTAAAAAGCGTTGCAAATATCCATGTAGACCACCAGTAGGTTGTTCCCAAACTTTAACAAATGGAGAATAATCTTGAACTATATTGGTAATTTAATATGTAAAGACGTTAACATTTCCTTTAGACGATAAAGACAATTATGGTTGACTTCAAAAACCTTTTGATGATAAATTCCCGATAGCAGCTGCACTGTTGCCTTGCACCTCAACACTCGATGAATTTGTCAAAGGAAGTAGTACTTGACATATATTAAGTTTTAGCAGTCGCGGTTTCAATTCATCTATATTAAAGATTATTTGATTAAATACTCGAACGATGCGAAACAAAAAAGAAAAAGCCAATAGACTTACCACTTAATGCCAAAACTGCCACACAAGCGGTCATCTCACTTTGTACACTTATTGGGACATTCAGTACCAATTCTCGGATTCGTTCAACAGCTCCTGCATCCACAATTGCTCTTTTGTTTCTTTCAGCGCTAGCTGCTAAATTTCTTAAAGTACTAATCGCATGACATTGAATCTCTTCATTTTCCTCATACGCTAAAAGTTGAATTAATGGAGACAAAAATCCTGCATCGATTATCGGTGATTCGTTAAGCGGGTGAATGGATATATTACGAATGCATGCAACCGATGAGAGAATTAGAGGTAGGAAAGATGATTGAAGTAATCGAAGTAATGGCGGTAATCCACGAGATCGAACTATTTCAAGTTGATATTTTTCTATTTTAGGAAGAAAAAAAAAGAATCATAAATGCACAATGGAAAATACATTACAAATACATAACTAAATATTTATTACCATCAGATGCTAGGTTTCTCAGTGCTAATGCGGCTTGACATTGTACCTTCAATGAAGTAGAATCCATCAACCCGATTAAAGATTGTACAAGTCTCGTTTCAGTTGAAGCAAGCTTCTTTCGATTCATCGCTAAAAATTTGACAAATTCAGTATAAAACGAAAGTATAGAATATCTAATAATGAACAAGTACATGTCACTCGTTTAATTAGCACTCAATTAACTGGAGATATATAAAATCTTATTAAATGGAATTACAATTATCACGAATCATAAAATCTTAGAAACCGGATTTTTTTACTTTACTAATAAGATGGACCCTCCAGTTTAGTGAGGGTGACATATATATTGAACATACCATCGACGGCGATGTTACTAAGTGCAGTAGTACAATAATATTGAACATCTGTATCTGGTGAATTCAAGAGACTAACTAGAACAGGTATGGCACCGGCGTTAACAAGTTGTTGTCTATTTTCATCTAAACGTGCAATAAAGGCGGAATGAAGGCTACCCTGTTAAAGTAATAATTAAAATGAATAAAATTTTATTTATCAATAAATTTACCAGAATGCGTCATGTTTAACAAAGCTCCCGTTGCGTTCCTTTGACAGTACTACATAAAGGATTATCACCAGGATACCGGAGAACCGAATGGGACCGAAGTGCTTGGCAAGGCACT